CAGTACCGTCTGGCAACACTGGGTGAGTGTGGTGGTGGTGGTCCAGTACTGTCTGGCAACACTGGGTGAGTGTGGTGGTGGTGGTGGTCCAGTACCGTCTAGCAACACTGGGTGAGTGTGGTAGTGGTGGTGGTCCAGTACCGTCTGGCAACACTGGGTGAGTGTGGTGGTGGTGGTGGTGGTCCAGTACCGTCTGGCAACACTGGGTGAGTGTGGTGGTGGTGGTGGTGGTCCAGTACCGTCTGGCAACACTGGGTGAGTGTGGTGGTGGTGGTGGTGGTGGTCCAGTACTGTCTGGCAACACTTGGTGAGTGTGGTGGTGGTGGTGGTGGTGGTCCAGTACCGTCTGGCAACACTGGGTGAGTGTGGTGGTGGTGGTGGTCCAGTACTGTCTGGCAACACTGGGTGAGTGTGGTGGTGGTGGTGGTGGTCCAGTACTGTCTGGCAACACTGGGTGAGTGTGGTGGTGGTGGTGGTGGTCCAGTACTGTCTGGCAACACTGGGTGAGTGTGGTGGTGGTGGTGGTGGTCCAGTACCGTCTGGCAACACTGGGTGAGTGTGGTGGTGGTCCAGTACCGTCTGGCAACACTGGGTGAGTGTGGTGGTGGTGGTGGTGGTCCAGTACTGTCTGGCAACACTGGGTGAGTGTGGTGGTGGTGGTGGTGGTCCAGTACCGTCTGGCAACACTGGGTGAGTGTGGTGGTGGTCCAGTACTGTCTGGCAACACTGGGTGAGTGTGGTGGTGGTGGTGGTGGTCCAGTACCGTCTGGCAACACTGGGTGAGTGTGGTGGTGGTGGTGGTCCAGTTCCGTCTGGCAACACTGGGTGAGTGTGGTGGTGGTGGTGGTGGTGGTGGTGGTCCAGTACTGTCTGGCAACACTGGGTGAGTGTGGTGGTGGTGGTGGTGGTCCAGTACCGTCTGGCAACACTGGGTGAGTGTGGTGGTGGTGGTGGTGGTCCAGTACCGTCTGGCAACACTGGGTGAGTGTGGTGGTGGTGGTGGTCCAGTACCGTCTGGCAACACTGGGTGAGTGTGGTGGTGGTCCAGTACTGTCTGGCAACACTGGGTGAGTGTGGTGGTGGTGGTGGTGGTCCAGTACCGTCTGGCAACACTGGGTGAGTGTGGTGGTGGTCCAGTACTGTCTGGCAACACTGGGTGAGTGTGGTGGTGGTGGTCCAGTACTGTCTGGCAACACTGGGTGAGTGTGGTGGTGGTGGTCCAGTACTGTCTGGCAACACTGGGTGAGTGTGGTGGTGGTGGTGGTCCAGTACCGTCTAGCAACACTGGGTGAGTGTGGTAGTGGTGGTGGTCCAGTACCGTCTGGCAACACTGGGTGAGTGTGGTGGTGGTGGTGGTGGTCCAGTACCGTCTAGCAACACTGGGTGAGTGTGGTGGTGGTGGTGGTGGTCCAGTACCGTCTGGCAACACTGGGTGAGTGTGGTGGTGGTGGTCCAGTACTGTCTGGCAACACTGGGTGAGTGTGGTGGTGGTGGTGGTCCAGTACCGTCTAGCAACACTGGGTGAGTGTGGTAGTGGTGGTGGTCCAGTACCGTCTGGCAACACTGGGTGAGTGTGGTGGTGGTGGTGGTGGTCCAGTACCGTCTGGCAACACTGGGTGAGTGTGGTGGTGGTGGTGGTGGTCCAGTACCGTCTGGCAACACTGGGTGAGTGTGGTGGTGGTCCAGTACTGTCTGGCAACACTGGGTGAGTGTGGTGGTGGTGGTGGTGGTCCAGTACCGTCTGGCAACACTGGGTGAGTGTGGTGGTGGTGGTGGTCCAGTACCGTCTGGCAACACTGGGTGAGTGTGGTGGTGGTGGTGGTGGTCCAGTACCGTCTGGCAACACTTGGTGAGTGTGGTGGTGGTGGTGATGGTCCAGTACCGTCTGGCAACACTGGGTGAGTGTGGTGGTGGTGGTGGTCCAGTACCGTCTAGCAACACTGGGTGAGTGTGGTAGTGGTGGTGGTGGTGGTCCAGTACCGTCTGGCAACACTGGGTGAGTGTGGTGGTGGTGGTGGTGGTCCAGTACCGTCTGGCAACACTGGGTGAGTGTGGTGGTGGTGGTGGTCCAGTACTGTCTGGCAACACTGGGTGAGTGTGGTGGTGGTGGTGGTGGTCCAGTACCGTCTGGCAACACTGGGTGAGTGTGGTGGTGGTGGTGGTGGTGGTCCAGTACTGTCTGGCAACACTGGGTGAGTGTGGTGGTGGTGGTGGTGGTCCAGTACCGTCTGGCAACACTGGGTGAGTGTGGTGGTGGTGGTGGTGGTCCAGTACTGTCTGGCAACACTGGGTGAGTGTGGTGGTGGTCCAGTACCGTCTGGCAACACTGGGTGAGTGTGGTGGTGGTGGTGGTGGTCCAGTACCGTCTGGCAACACTGGGTGAGTGTGGTGGTGGTGGTCCAGTACCGTCTGGCAACACTGGGTGAGTGTGGTGGTGGTGGTCCAGTACCGTCTGGCAACACTGGGTGAGTGTGGTGGTGGTGGTGATGGTCCAGTACCGTCTGGCAACACTGGGTGAGAGTGGTGGTGGTGGTGGTGGTCCAGTATACTGTCTGGCAACACTGGGTGAGTGTGGTGGTGGTGGTGGTGGTCCAGTACCGTCTGGCAACACTGGGTGAGTGTGGTGGTGGTGGTGGTGGTCCAGTACCGTCTGGCAACACTGGGTGAGTGTGGTGGTGGTGGTGGTGGTGGTCCAGTACCGTCTGGCAACACTGGGTGAGAGTGGTGGTGGTGGTGGTGGTCCAGTACCGTCTGGCAACACTGGGTGAGTGTGGTGGTGGTGGTGGTGGTCCAGTACTGTCTGGCAACACTGGGTGAGAGTGGTGGTGGTGGTGGTGGTCCAGTACCGTCTGGCAACACTGGGTGAGTGTGGTGGTGGTGGTGGTGGTCCAGTACTGTCTGGCAACACTGGGTGAGAGTGGTGGTGGTGGTGGTGGTCCAGTACCGTCTGGCAACACTGGGTGAGTGTGGTGGTGGTGGTGGTGGTCCAGTAGCGTCTGGCAACACTGGCTGAGTGTGGTGGTGGTGGTGGTGGTCCAGTACCGTCTGGCAGCACTGGGTGAGTGTGGTGGTGGTGATCCAGTACCGTCTGGCAACACTGGGTGAGTGTGGTGGTGGTGGTGGTGGTCCAGTACTGTCTGGCAACACTGGCTGAGTGTGGTGGTGGTGGTGGTGGTCCAGTACCGTCTGGCAACACTGGGTGAGTGTGGTGGTGGTGGTGGTCCAGTACCGTCTGGCAACACTGGGTGAGTGTGGTGGTGGTCCAGTACCGTCTGGCAACACTGGGTGAGTGTGGTGGTGGTCCAGTACTGTCTGGCAACACTTGGTGAGTGTGGTGGTGGTGGTGGTGGTCCAGTAATTTCTGGCAACACTTGGTGAGTGTGGTGGTGGTGGTGGTGGTCCAGTACCGTCTGGCAACACTGGGTGAGTGTGGTGGTGGTGGTGGTGGTCCAGTACCGTCTGGCAACACTGGGTGAGTGTGGTGGTGGTGGTCCAGTACCGTCTGGCAACACTGGGTGAGTGTGGTCGTGGTGGTGGGCCAGTACCGTCTGGCAACACTGGGTGAGTGTATTGGTGGTGGTCCAGTACCGTCTGGCAACACTGGGTGAGTGTGGTGGTGGTCCAGTACTGTCTGGCAACACTGGGTGAGTGTGGTGGTGGTCCAGTACCGTCTGGCAACACTGGGTGAGTGTGGTGGTGGTCCAGTACCGTCTGGCAACACTGGGTGAGTGTGGTGGTGGTGGTGGTGGTGCAGTACCGTCTAGCAACACTGGGTGAGTGTGGTGGTGGTCCAGTACTGTCTGGCAACACTGGGTGAGTGTGGTGGTGGTGGTCCAGTACCGTCTGGCAACACTGGGTGAGTGTGGTGGTGGTGGTGGTGGTCCAGTACTGTCTGGCAACACTGGGTGAGTGTGGTGGTGGTCCAATACTTTCTGGCAACACCGGGTGAGTGTGGTGGTGGTCCAATACCGTCTGGCAACACTGGGTGAGTGTGGTGGTGGTGGTGGTGGTGGTCCAGTACCGTCTGGCAACACTGGGTGAGTGTTGTGGTGGTGGTGGTGGTGGTCCAGTACCGTCTGGCAACACTGGGTGAGTGTGGTGGTGGTGGTCCAGTACCGTCTGGCAACTCTGGGTGAGTGTGGTGGTGGTGGTGGTGGTCCAGTACCGTCTGGCAACACTGGGTGAGTGTGGTGGTGGTGGTCCAGTACCGTCTGGCAACACTGGGTGAGTGTGGTGGTGGTGGCCCAGTACCGTCTGGCAACACTGGGTGAGTGTGGTGGTGGTGGTGGTCCAGTACCGTCTGGCAACACTGGGTGAGTGTGGTGGTGGTGGTGGTGGTCCAGTACCGTCTGGCAACACTGGGTGAGTGTGGTGGTGGTCCAGTACCGTCTGGCAACACTGGGTGAGTGTGGTGGTGGTGGTGGTGGTCCAGTACCGTCTGGCAACACTGGGTGAGTGTGGTGGTGGTGGTGGTGGTCCAGTACCGTCTGGCAACACTGGGTGAGTGTGGTGGTGGTGGTGGTCCAGTACCGTCTGGCAACACTGGGTGAGTGTGGTGGTGGTGGTGGTGGTCCAGTACCGTCTGGCAACACTGGGTGAGTGTGGTGGTGGTGGTCCAGTACCGTCTGGCAACACTGGGTGAGTGTGGTGGTGGTGGCCCAGTACCGTCTGGCAACACTGGGTGAGTGTGGTGGTGGTGGTGGTGGTCCAGTACCGTCTGGCAACACTGGGTGAGTGTGGTGGTGGTGGTGGTGGTCCAGTACCGTCTGGCAACACTGGGTGAACAATCTTGTCTTCAGTCATGTCTACCAACTTTAGGTAAGACTGTGAAATGCCACTTCACAATTGTTTCTTATTATTGATACTACAACTCCTATCGTCAACATCCTTACTGTGTTGGCTTGCATCATGCATGAGTCCCCCTCCCCCCAGTATCCTCATCCTACCTGACCTGAGTACCTGTCTCGCCTCCTGACGTGTCCTCGTCTCTCTGTCCCCAGGCTTCCTCGCCGGCGGCATCCCCGAGGCGCCGGGCAACATGGGGCTGCTCGACCAGATCACTGCTCTCCGCTGGGTACGTCCGCCTCGCCCTCGCCTCTCCACACACACACGTACATGCTCCTCTCCTCTCCCCACACACACGTGCATGCTCCTCTCCTCTCCACACACACACGTGCATGCTCCTCTCCTCTCCACACACACACACGTACATGCTCCTCTCCTCTCCACACACACACGTGCATGCTCCTCTCCTCTCCACACACACACGTGCATGCTCCTCTCCTCTCCACACACACACGTGCATGCTCCTCTCCTCTCCACACACACACGTGCATGCTCCTCTCCTCTCCACACACACACGTACATGCTCCTCTCCTCTCAACAAACACACACACACACACACACACACACACACACACACACACACACACACACACACACACACACACACACACACACACACACACACACACACACACACACACACACACACACACTCCAAAACAGAGTGGTAGACGGTTGGAACAAGTTAGGGGAGAAGGTGGTAGAGGCCAAGACCGTCAGTAGTTTCAAAGCGTTATATGACAAAGAGTGCTGGGAAGACGGGACACCACGAGCGTAGCTCTCATCCTGTAACTACACTTAGGTAATTACACTTAGGTAATTACACACACACACACACACACACACACACACACACACACACACACACACACACACACACACACACAGTACACAAACAGTGGAAGTGGCAACAAGGAATTTTCTGAGCCAACATGTCAAGGAACCCACAAGAGTGAAAGGCAATGATGAACCAGCTAGACTCGACTTGATATTCACCCTGAATGAGTCAGAAATAAGGGAAGTCAAAGTTGAAGCCCCCCATAGGAATGAGTGACCACAGTGTACTGACCTTTGAGTTCTTGGTGGAGGAAGGGAAAACCTATCCAAGGATGGGATCGGAGGGAAAAAGACTGAATTACCGAAGAGGAAAATATGACGAGATGAGGAACTTCCTCAGGGGAATATCATGGGAAACAGAACTTAGAGACAAGAATGTGCAGGTCATGATGGATTTTGTCACCCAGAAGTGCCAGGAAGCTGCAGACAGGTTTATCCCCGTCCAAAAGGAGAAAAACGAAAAACAACAGAAAAACCCATGGTTCAACCAGGAATGTAAGGTAGCGAAGCAACTGAGTAAAAGAACATGGAGAAACTACAGAAATAACAGAACACCAGAGAGCAGCGAGAGATACCAGAGGGCCAGAAATGAGTACCTCAGAGTGAGGAGGAAAGCAGAGAGACAGTTTGAAAATGACATCGCGAGTAAAGCCAAGACCCAACCAAAGCTGCTCCACAGCCACATCAGGAGAAAAACAGCAGTGAAGGAACATGTGATGAAGCTGCGGAAAGGGGAGAACAGATACACAGAGAATGACAAGGAGGTGTGTGAAGAACTCAACAAGAGATTCCAGGAGGTCTTCACAATAGAACAAGGAGAAGCCCCTGCACTAAATGAGGAGGCGGCAAACCAAGCAACCTTGGAGGAATTTGACCTCACCAGTGATGAGGTCAAAAGGTGTCTGCTGGAGCTGGATGTGACAAAGGCTGTTTGGCCTGATAGAATCTCACCATGGATACTAAAGGAAGGTGCAGAAGCACTAAGTGTGCCACTCTCTATGGTGTATAGCAGGTCACTGGAAACAGGAGACTTACCAGAAAGTTGGAAGACAGTTAACGTGGTCCCAATATACAAAAAGGGTGACAGGCAAGAGGCACTGAATTACAAGCCAGTTTACTTAACTTGTATACCATGCAAGGTGATGAAGAAGATCGTGAGGAAAAGGCTCGTAGAGCATCTGGAGGGAAATAATGGTCTAGAAAATGGCTGCTAAAGTTCAACTCAGGAAAGTGTAAAGCAATGAAATTAGGCGAAGGGAGCAGGAGGGTGAACACAAGGTATCATCTGGGAGGTGAAATCCTGCAAGAGTCAAATATAGAGAAAAATCTGGGGGTTGATATCACACCGAACCTGTCGCCAGAGGCCTACATCAAAAGGATATCATCAGCGGCATATGCTAGACTGGCCAACATAAGAACTGCATTTAGAAACTTGTGTAAGGAATCGTTCAGAACCCTGTATACCACTTATGTAAGACCAATCCTGGAGTATGGAGCTCTAGCCTGGAGTCCATACCTAGTTAAACACAAGACAAAGTTAGAGAAGATTCAGCGGTATGCCACCAGGCTCGTCCCGGAACTGAGAGGTATGAGCTACGAGGAAAGACTAAAGGAGCTGAACCTCTCGTCCCTGGAAAACAGAAGAGTAAGGGGAGACATGACAACCACCTACAAAATTCTCAGGGGAATTGACAGGGTGGACAAAGGCAAACTCTTTAGCACGGGTGGAACACGAACAAGGGGACACAGGTGGAAGATGAGTACCCAAATGAGCCACAGAGACATTAGAAAGAGCTTTTTCAGTGTCAGAGTAGTTAGTAAATGGAATGCATTAGGAAGTGATGTGGTGGAGGCTGACTCCATACACAGGTTCAAATGTAGATATGATAGAGCCCAGTAGGCTCAGGAACCTGTACACCAGTTGATTGACAGTTGAGAGGCGGGACCAAAGAGCCGAAGTTCAACCCTCGCGAGCACAACTAGGTGAGTACACACTCACAATATGTTCTTGGCTCAGGAACATATGTTGGGAGATTGTGTAGCACAAGATACAGTGAGAGTTTAAAGCACTAGGTAGGAAACTATGCAGGTGAAATTAAGTACTTTTTGGTTTTATTTTTGTATAAGTTAAAATTTGGACAGCTTTTCAATTCGTTAGGGAGTGAGTTCAATAGACTAGGTCACTTTATTTGCATGGAGTATTTACACAGATTATGTTTGACTTAATCAGGATATCAAATATGTTTTGATAATCTATCATAATCTGGACATGCTTATTTCTGGTGTGGTGATTATGGGTTCTATTACATCGGTCCAGGAAGAGTTTCAGAACAGTTTGCATTTTGGAACAGGGTTTTCTAAATGTAAATGACACAAGAATGTGTGGAGTGAGTTTATGTTTAGCATTTAATTCTATTAAAATTTTGCCCAGAGAGGCGAGTTTATTGGGCGAGTATGTCCACTCACCCTGGGAGAGGACATACCACCATAGCTGCATGTACAACACTCCCCAATAGGAACAAAACCCACTGGGTTGTTCCAATAGGTGAACAACCCTGTCACTTGTACCCAAACACAGCTGGGACTCTCTTAACTGTCTCAAGTGAACAACTCATCAAACAAGAATATTAACATCTGTCAACTCTTAAAATCTTATCTTATCTTGAGGATGCAACATAGGGAAATCCTTTAAAAACAGTGTGAATATTTGACAAATAGTGATTTCCTAACTCAAGCAATGTGGGGTTTATTATTCTACATATATTTCTAAGGGACACAAAAGGGGGGACATAATGGGTGGGACACAAGACGTGGGACACAAGGGGTGAGACACAATGAGTGGTACACAAGGGATGGGACACAATGGGTGAGATACAAGGGGTGAGACACAAGGCGTGGGACAACAAGGAATGGGACACAAGGTGTGGGACACAAGGGATGGGATACAAGATATGGGACACAATGTGCGGTGGGCCGGTGGTTAAGCGGGTGTCCCGGTGGCTGAGCGGACATCACGCTGTACACATGATCCTGTGGTTCGATCCCGGGCGCCGGCAAGAAACAATGGGCAGAGTTCCTTTCACCCTAATGCTCCTGTTATCTAGCAGTAAACAGTTCCTGGGAGTTAGACAGCTGTCACGGGCTGCTTCCTGGGGTGTGTGTGGTATGGGGGAAAAAATTAGTAGCTAGTAACAGTTGAGTGACAGTTGAGAGGCGGGCCGAAAGAGCAGATCTCAACCCCCGCAAGCATAACTAGGTGAAGGGATTAATTATTAATTATTAATTAAGGAATTAAGGGATGATACAACTAGATGAAAACAAGGGGTGGGACACAAGGAATGGAACACAAATGGTGGGATACAACCGTTGGGACACAAGGGATGGGACACAAGGTGTGGGAAACAAGTTGTGGAGACACAAGGGGTTTGGCACTATAGATGAAACACAAGGGATGGGACACAAGGGTTAGGACACCAGGGTGGGACACAAGGGATGAGGCACAAGAGATTGGACACTAGGGATGGGACACAAGGGGTAGGATACAAGGGGTGGGTAACCAAAGGTGGGACACCAGGGTGGGACACAAGGGGTAGGATACAAGGGGTGGGTAACCAAAGGTGGGACACAAGGGGTGGGACACAAAATGTAGAACTCAATGAATGAGTGGGCCACAAGGAATGGGGCACAAAGTGTGGGGCACTAGGGATGGGGCACAATGGGGTGAGACACAAGTTGTGGGACACAAGGGATGGGGCACAATGGGGTGAGACGTACACAAGAGGTGGGACAGAAGGGGTGGGACACAAAGTGTAGGACTCAATAAGTGGGCCACAAGGGGTGGGACACAAGGAGTGGGACACAAAGTGTAGGACACAAGGAGTGGGACACAAGGGATGGGACACAAGGAGTGGGCCACAAAGTGTAGGACACAAGGAGTGGGACACAAGGGATGGGACACAAGGAGTGGGCCACAAAGTGTAGGACACAAGGAGTGGGACACAAGGGATGGGACACAAGGAGTGGGCCACAAAGTGTAGGACACAAGGAGTGGGACACAAGGGATGGGACACAAGGAGTGGGCCACAAAGTGTAGGACACAAGGAGTGGGACACAAGGGATGGGACACAAGGAGTGGGCCACAAAGTGTAGGACACAAGGAGTGGGACACAAGAGGATGGGACACAATGTGTGGGAATAGACTCATTTCTCTTAATGTTTGCTGATGAAGCAAAAATTATGAAGAAGATTGAAATAGAGGATAATAGGAGGCTACAAGATGTCCTAGACAGACTGAATGAATGGTCCAACAAATGGCTACTAAAGTTCAACCCGAATAAATGCAAAGTAATGAAACTAGGCGGTGGAAACAGGAGGCCAGACACAGGATACAGA